AAACAAATTTGTGTTTACTCATGATAAATGCACTATTATTGATATATGCGACGATTTTATAGCGGATTCAGACTTTGGTGCTGAATTCCTGCCAGATGTATATTTCCCCAATTAGTTAAGAAAGTGTTACGATGAAAATTGAAACTATCTATGTTGTAGAATATGTTTACATTTCGAGACACAGTATTGATTAATCCTGTTCACGATTGATTTGATGTACCATGGCTACTTTGATCAAGGGTGCCTCCATTTTTAAACGCGTCGAAGCATGTGTCAAAATATTTTATTTACCGTTATTAAATGGCGGAAACAGCGACCCCAATCAGATCATGGCTGAGATTACGCTATAATGGGTAATTTCGCACTACCCACAAACACAATAATGATGGGCAATTGGTGATTAGAAAATCCTTGTATATGTAAATGCTGTTCTAAGGTAAAGTAACAATAGCTGTTATTTTAAACACTGTTTGAATATAACTATATAAAAATGACCAAATCTTACCGAAATATCGTTTTAGACACAATTGTATGAACTAAGTTGCCCTCACAAGGCTAATGTCGCATGAAATGCCGTATAAAAAGAGAAGGTCGAGTAGTCGCAATTTCCGTTGAAGTCGGTCACGTGCTGAGAACCGTAAACAAATATGACGCACGGCGCACACTATCATGAGAATTATCATATCATATCACCAGTAAGTGGCTTACAGAAAGACTTGGCATTTCACACAGGCGACGTATTTGACATTTCGCTATAAGTTATCATCTACTTCTCAAGTTTGTCTGACACAACTGTATTTCACAATAGAAGACTCCTCCTACCTATAAATAGTGATTTCACGATACAAAATAACAAAAACGCAGAGAAAATTGAACGAATGCCCATACAGTTATAATGCCCGTTTTTCTGTTTGTTACTGTTCCACAATGTTCATAAATCTGTTCATAGGTCTTTACTGAACACGTATGTTTATCTATCGAATACATAACGTACATTACAAAATGCGTAAAGGGAATTTCAAGATTAAGGTCAATAATACATTTTGAAAAATAAACGATACACTGCTAAATATGCTTAACAAG